ACGAGTTAGTCACTTTGTGAAAGTCTATAAAATATTGTAAATTTATTTTCAATTTTTCAATAAAGACACACCATTGTGACATGATTGTGTATTAAAAAAAAAAAAAAAAAAGAATTAGAATATCAATTATCAATGATATTATCAAAATATATAAGTATGATCAATAGAAACTTATTTACATTCTGTTACTAATATATTTTATATTAATTAATCAGATTCCAGGTGACATTGTGCTACCAGAAATTCAAGATTAAGAAAATTATAAAAAATAATAGATACTCTAAAAAAATACAAAATAATATATAAAAAGATAAATAATAAATCTTTTCTTATCAATAAAACTTTTATTTTTTACCACTTCCAACTCTTTAAGGTGACACTTCACTTGTAAGTTCTTTTACTTTCTAGAACTTTTTTGTTCTTAGTAAAGAAAGTACATACTTGAGTTTATTCAGGTTATTAAAAGTTCAAATTTTTATTCAAAGAAATTTATAAACAAGTAAAAAAGAGTAATAAGAATATATGAAGACAAGTTTCAAGTTGTTTTAATGAAAGTATAAAGACTTTATTAACAAGGAAGTATAAAATTTCTTATAAACATCTTTTTTATATATAATTAAAAAATTAGCATGCATACAATATAAATTTTAGGAGCTGGATCTATTTTTAGAATTTATATTGTATAAAGCTTATTTTCAAGAGTTACTACTACCTTCCCTTACTTGTTTACAAACTCCTTTAAATAAAAACTTGAGCCTCTGATAGCCTAAATAGATTTAAGCACATACTTTCTCTACTATACACGTATTATAATATAAATTTTCGGGGTAATTATTCTGGGACCCGAAAAATTCCTGCCGCCTTCGATTAATTACCCATATAACTCTAATTCCGGGAGTGCAGTAGCACGTGCGTCGCATGCGCATTTTGTGCGATGTTTTAATGCTTATTTTTTTGGTAAAAGAATTCCTGCGGTGTATATCTTTCTACTCCAATGAAAATTCTCCTGCGCAAGTGCCTCACGGTGACTCACCACCCTTGCGATCTAAAATAACACCGGAATTTTCGATATCATTTAATAATAATTCTTTTCGTTGGCTATGAAAGAACTTTGAATGGAAATGTAAAACGTTTGATCTTTTAAAAGTACGGCCCCCAATAATTCGAAACTGTGAACTTTTTGTATGTATTGTGAAAAAATTATTCATTTGCCGTCAGTTTTTTGCGACCCACAAATCAAGACGCGTGTGAGAGTTCTCGTAATCCGTGAATTTAGTTAGAAAACAATGAATGCATGCACGTAACATGGCAATTGAAAACAAGAAACGTATGCGTACTAAAATTACGTACGCACAACAGTATCTAAATATAAAATACTGTAAATGAGGTTACTACTGCATGTGAAACACTTGAGCTCCGGTCAGAAGATCTCAATGGTCTGAAACTTATTAATTGGTCACAATGCAGGGCATCATCGCACACCCTTGTCTGTGCGTATGAATTCAAAGAAGCAATGCAAATTTGGGAATAATACGAAGAAAAAAAAATGGAGAAAAGGAGAGAAAAGAAAAAGATATATAAGATGTATCAATTCGAACCTTTTGAAAATTCAAAATTTCGATTCAAAACAACCCAAGCATTTGTATAAATATACAACAATTTGTAAATATTTTTATCTTCACAAACATTTTACTAGATATTAAAAGATGCCAGGAAAATCAGGAATTTACCTTGGTGTGTCCGAATTATCCGACTCGGAATCGTCAACCTCCTCCAAATGCAGTGTCAGAAGTTTAAGCCCGCAGCCTCATTATACTCCTAAACGTGAGAATCCAACCCGAAAAGTGGTTGACAGTCTTTTAGATAAGTTTCTCTTCGAGAAACTTAAATGTACACGGAATAGCGAGATCAAAAGAATCCTGGAATCGGCAATATATGACCATCTCGATAACACGGAACACATATATCGATGGTTATTTGATAACGAGAATACGCTCCAATATAAAAGTCTCCTTGGATTCTTTTTATTGATGGGCATCGGCTGTGAGAGCAACCTCAACAAGGCGTTCCAAAAATTCATTGCCGCAGCAAAGAAAGATTATCTTATAGGTCATGAAATGGTTGGTGACTGTTATTTAAATGGTTGGGGAACGCCAAAGAACGACGAATTGGCCTTTCAGTGGTACAAAAAATGTGTAGATAACAATGAAGGAAGCTTTTACGGATATTTTGCGCTAGGATATTGTTATGAGAGTGGGAAAGGTGTCGTGAAAGATGAGGTGGAAGCATTCCGATGTTATGATCGCTGTGCAAAATTAGGGAATGTTATGGCAATGAGGACACTAGCAGATCGCTATACGAACGGAGTGGGCGTAGCGAGAAATTCCGAGAAAGCCAATTTTTGGTACCAAAAAGCACTCGAGAAGGAGATGATGGAATCAACCGCTTTTCTAGACAATGTATAAGAAATTTATGATATTCGATTTTTTTTAGTTGGGTAAATTGGACTCATTCATTTTTTAGATTTTAGACTTTCATTTTAGATATACAACATGTAAATATAAAACACCACAGTAAAAAAAAAAAGATTAAACTTGTGAGAAATTCCGCGAACTTGTCACATGCCAAAATCTCATTAATTTCACGTGATAATGTTATAATCGGTGACCGCCATTAAGATAAACTCCAATTTCGGCTTCATAAAATAAAATTCATACTTAAAATCATTAATGAAAGTGATAAATATTTAAGCGTCGTGCATTTATCTTGCGGGCAGCAGTATATCACGTGCATCAATTCGTGATGCGTGCAAAGATCGATTTAAACATCCATTGTTGCCCCGATAGATCCCTCGACTAAATCATGCAAAACTTTGATTTTATATAATACATTCTAGGAGATTTGAATAATACAAATATAAATTGAACGCTAGGTCAACGGAGGTGGTTCTTTCGTATACCGAATGCACGAGTCCGAAGGGCTAACAAGCAGGTGGTTAATATTTTGACATAAAACATTCGACTTTAATATTCGCTTCATTTTCGCATTCCAACTATAATATAAAAGGTAAATAGTTACTAACACTAATTACCCTTGCTTGAAATAAAATAAAATTGATGTTGGTATCACAAATAATCGATCAACCAAGAAAACATTAATGTCTCGAAATCTTCTACGGCATTCGCGTGTCTCAGACCATGCCTTTCAGTTGGATATGGTTTAAGCTCATATGGCTTCTTGTGTTTTTGTAGGGCCGAGACCAGTAATTCGGAATTTTTGAAATGAACATTTTCATCGATCTGCCCATGCGCGATTAAAAGACGGTGCTCGCTGAGGCGAGGTGAGACGAGATAATATTGAATATGTAAATTAATTTAGCGAAACAAACTTTGAATAGTTTACCGCACACCGCACTTACTCGTCGGGAAAATTTTTTACCCAAGTTAGCACGCTTCCCTTGCGATACCCTTCTACGTTTTCGGTGGGAAGCCCCATGTATCGTTCGGTATAAGCAGTATCATATAGTTCCCATTTTGTGACTGGCGCCCCGGCAATGGCCAACTTAAAGAATTGAGGATATTGCGCAAGTGCCATCAGACTAAGGTATCCGCCATAGCTCCAACCAGTTATGGCCACCCTTTCCAAATCAACTCCCATATTTCTGGATGATAGATACTTTAGTCCAGCTATTTGGTCCTCTAACTCGACAGTTCCCATACGACCTTTTAAATAAGATTCAAACTTAACACCTCTATTTGATGACCCACGACCATCGATAAGGACGACCGAGAATCCAAGCCGAGTTGCAAGAAAGAGTCGATGAAACCGCGGGTATTTATAGTCGTTGGTTACCATCTAATATATGGAAGAATGTTCAAGTATCGAGGCAAGTTGAAGTATAGAGAAATATAAAATTAGACTAAATTTAAGGGCAGAGATTTAAAAATCGACAAACCTGAGATTGAGGTCCGCCGTAAATATTTAAGACGGTGGGATATTTTTTCCCCGGGACGTGGTTTTCAGGCCTATACAAGCACCCGTAAATAGTAACCCCGTCATTATTCTTGAAATTAAAGAATTCTCCAAAAGGAATCTGTCTTCCCGGATCTCTTACGTCCTCAACTGCGTTGCCGCCTCCTATGAATACACCTAAAGTCTTGCTAACTTTAGGAAAAACTGAATTGTCATTCCATTCAAAATATCGAACACCACATTTTGGTTTCTCTTTTACGCTGGAAAATACATCCAAGTATCTCTCACAATTCTCGTCCATCACCACAGTATGACTGTATCCTAACTCTGTGAGTCGTATTACTATCGAGGGATCAGCATTTTTAGCATAACTAGCTGCGTAAAGATGGGTCTCCAATGGTGTGTCCTTTTTAGCAATAAAATAAACCAGTTCTTTTTTTGTGTCAACATGTATAGGTCTATCCATGATCGGCCAATTCCCGGTGGTTATTGGTCTAACGTAATAATGTGGCGAAGTTACAGGTTTCTCCACAAGATAAAGATGACGATAACCACTACTTTCAGAAGTTATAAAAAACTTGGTATATGAAGCTCGTTGATCACAAAGTATCGGTGCTGAGGATAAATCAGTGTCTGCTGTCTTGGGTGCAGCTTCATTATCGTTGAAAAAATAAAAGACGTTTGCGACCTTATGTACAGAGTAGAGATGCATGTATAAATTTATCATGTTTCAGAATCGATTTGAAATTAAGTGCCATTAAATATAATTTAAAGCCAAATTTACCTACATTTATCCAAACATCACTAGTTTCTTCGAATATAACTTCCACCCTCGAAACACATAAATCATCCAACATCCCACCATTTTCTTCATATTCTGATGAGCTCATAAAGTTGCTAATCGGAATCTTGACAATCGCAGTCTTTTGTTGCGGACGATCCAGTAATTGCATCCATATACTTTAACGAGAAATTAATTAATTAATCCACCTATAATAAATGAGAAAACAATGGACACACCATGAATTAAGATAACCTACCTTCCACCATCTGGACACCAACCAAATCGAACAATATATTCAACCCACGGAAATAATTTATCCAATGCAGCGGATCCCCAAAGTCGTTTGTGAATAGGTTCATGTACCACATCCTTTTATAAATCTGTGGTGTGAATTACTTAATAGTTCATGGAAAAATTTGGCAACCATAAATGCTTAAAATGTGTTTACCTCCTCGCTGTAACGCGGAGTAAACTCGACAATTCGCAGTTCACTCACGGCATTTGGTGTACCTACGAGACACAGAATTTCTAAATTTTAATATTGCCTCATTTCATGTTTTGTAAATTTGATAATTTAAAATTCACTTTTTTGCTGCAACTAACCAGCCTTTGGATATCGATATTCTTCAACTTCTCCTTGAGGACCCGGTTTCGGTATTGATACCAGATCTACCATTGATTCCGATATCTGCAGGTATAGTATTTTTTCGCAATCTCTCGAGAATCCTTTAATAGATGGTGGACACCAATAATAACCGGTATAACGGTAGAATTCTTCCTTTTGAGATATGAGAAAAGATTACAGTGTAAGATCTCCCGTTATTATTAAAATAAATGGTTGTTTTTTTTTTGGCAAATTAACTCATACCTGCATTACAAATTCCGCGACACCACAACTTATCACGGCCGTACCATCGGGGTCAAGGTCATTACGAAAGGTCAGTTGAGTCTCACAACCATTAGGAGTTGTGACCCATATATCTCGATCACGAATGAAAGCGATGAGATCACCATTGTAACCACCCAATTTTGGATATAATCGTGGTGATAGAGTGTTGTTCAATGATGAATAATATGAGGACGTTGAAGGTGAGCCAGTGGTTGATGGTGAAGGAGCTGGGGATATGATGCCATGCTGCGGTGAATATGTGATGGGGGAAAAATTCATCATGCTCCCGGTATATGCCGCCGGTCCCGAAGAGCAAGGTGTAATTGGACGTGGACAAAATTCTCCATTCTACATCGAAATGACAATAGAAATTGAACATTCTGTTGAGCAACATTATATACAAGACATTCAGTTTTTTTCTAATCCATATGATAAAACACAACCACAATGGTGTCGCCTAATCACCTTGCTAACGTGTCCCAAGTATATCCCGTTACCATAACTAAATAATATTTGACCACTCCGAGGATCAAATTGATAACTGGTTATTCCCTGCAACGCTAATCTCCTTCGTTCCTTCACAAACATTTCCTCTCGTGACAATGTCTCTGAAAACGAATTTTCTTTTAACCATAATTCCGGAAGCAACGGTTTCCACCTTACTGTGGGAATCTTAGATAGTGTACTTGAGTGATTTTGTTGTTGAAATTTTGTTGCACCTGATATCGAAGAGAAATCTAGCAAAATAAAATTGTCAGAATAGAAGGATTTTGCAGATGCTGAAGGCGACGATGGGACATTGCAGGTCGACGGGCTAAAATTAAAAGAAAATTCTAAAAGAAGGCAAGGAAAAAAAAAAAAAAGAAAAGGAAAAAAGCCATAATGATTACGCCAATTCTTCATTTGTAATTTGTCGCCACTACTTTTAAGAAAACCATCGTTATCAATACTAATGCAATAAAAAACTCATAATTATCCAAATTTCACAAACATATAAGAAAGAAGTAAATTCCAATAACTCCTTGATAAATTCGCTTCATACAAACTTGATTAAATTTTTGCGACGTACCTTTCGCGTGGAATTCATTGTTGGTAAAGCTGAATGGGAGATCACAACGATGAACGTCCGCCGAACCATTTTTTACGACCCGAGATTTAATTCCTTTTATCTTGTCTCCCTTGACCTTCACGAAAGATAAATCGACGAAAAATAAGGTGGATGTTTTCATCCATGAAGGATCGGTTGCCAGAAAATATGCACGATTGTTTTTCTCATCGAAACAAAATTCATCACTGATGCTAAATGGTTGAATAGAGCTCCGGTAAGCCTTAACTTCTTTCCGTACTTGTTCCTGAGTTGAATTCATGTTGCAATAGTCGTTAGTTGCTTTGACTGAAATTGATTTAACGTAATGGTGGAATCATAATCAGGATCAACAATGAGCCCGCGATCTTCAAAAGTTAACGTGAACTTGTAATAAAAAACAATAGTTTGATAGTATTACAATCCGGTGAAGGTGTAAAGATTCATTCGCTACAATTACGTAGGTGTGAATTCATAACTTTATTGAGGTTGAAAAATCTTCTGTGAAACTATAGTGTGTCCACCTCGTGCCTTACGTTTTAGGCATCCAATTTCGGAAATAATCAAGGTGTCACTAAGAAAAATACCCGGAGAAGATTTCTTGAACCCTTGGATTCATATTATATGCCAATGAGTTATTGCTGTTTCAAATTAATTTATTCGGTTTTATTTTAATTTCACAAATTTTTTTTTTTTTGTTTTTTAACGCGCTATCTCAATCATGCCGTTATGGTGTGTCTAACAAAATTTAGATACTTTAAGAAACAATATTATACTTCTTTAGCAGTTTGATACTTGATTTCTAATTATTAGAATTATTATCAATAGTGTATCACTACTAATTATTTTAAAAAACAATAAATTGTTAAATTAGAAATTAGAAAGGAAGAAAAAAAATAATCTAAATTTTTTTCAAAAACTAGTTCAAAAAAAATACTTAACAAAATTCATTAAAAATTTTAATAAAAATTTTTTAAATAGTTATTAAATTTTTAATGAATTGTTAATGAATTTTTAATAAATAGTTTTGATAAATAGTTGCTAAATTTTTAATAAATAGTTGATAAATTTTTGATGAATTTTTGATGAATTATTAATAAATTAATGCTGAATTTTTATTGAATTATTAATAAATAATTTGTAACAAACTTTTAATGAATTTTTATTAAATTGTTAATTAATGAATTTTTTGACAATTTATTGTTAAACTTTTAATTAATAAATTTTTAATTGCTAAATTTTTGATTGTCAAATTTTTGATTATTAAATTTTTGATTGTCAAATTTTTGATTATTGAATTTTTAATTGTCACTTTATTACTGAAATAATGATATACTGAGTGATAGTAATAAAAAAAAATTCAACAATATTTTTATTATTAAATTTAATCAAATTTGATAATAATTCAGCTGTTGAATAATATAATTTCAACTAGTATAAGTAAAGTATATTAAAAATAAGACAAGAATTGGAAGAAATTTATCAATCAGAATAAAGTATAATATTTTTTCTTTTTCTTTTCAGTACCTTTTTTGTAATATAGAATCTTTACTTTCATTTAAGCTTATATAATCTTTTTTAAATTTATAGTTCTTATCTAAAAGTAGAATAGAAAATATGAATAGTAATAAATAACAATCCAACATATATTCTTTTTTCTCCTTTTTTTTTTTATTTTTGAAAAAAATTTTAAGCATTAGTTAGGTACTAGATTAGTCTTCTTTTGTTTAAAAGAGATGACTTAATCACAAAATGATATATTTCTTATAGAAGTTCTTTTATTGTAACACTTTATTGTTTTAAATAGCTTGAATATATAATTAGAGAAAGTTTTTTTTTTATTGTCCAAAGTTTCAATAAAGTCTTAGCTTTGTTAGTAAAAAAAAAAAAAAAACAAAAAAAAATTTTTTATAAACTATTGTTATATTGCTTTAAATCTTTTTTATTATTGAGTATTGTGATAAAAATAGCATCTACTATCATTGGATAGTTATTTTTAGTCATTATCTTTATTCTATTTTTATTTTTATCTATTTATTTATAATTATTTCTTTAATATTTTTTGATATTCTTATTGGTACTTGATTAGCGTAGGTTACTTTATCAAATGTAGCACGTGACATAATTTATCGTAAATCAGGCAGCCCAAGAGGCCTAGAAGGCCCAAGTGACACATTTTTACAAGTATATAAACAGTTATAATTCACTCAAAAGTAGAATAAGTTTGATGATAACTTCACTTGACTTTGAAAGTTGGTAGATAACTTCATTTTGATTTCTTGAAAATTGGATATCTTCTTTTGATTTTAGGACTTAAAGAATTGTCCTAGTCTTCTTGATTTATTAATAAACTTGGGTTTTAAGTAAACCATATTCCTTGTGAAACACTGTGTAACACTGTTTAAAGGATTCTTGATAAATCTATTCTTGATACTTCTTTATTATTATAAATCATTTCTTTAATTCTTTCTTTGGGAATTGTCCTTTTAAAAGCTATTCCACTTGGACATACCGATCAAATATAAATTTGATCACATTTTGATGATGACAATAGAACCTTGCTCTCCAAAAAGAATATTTAACAGGACCTTGCTCTTCAAAAAGGATATTTGGGATAGGATTAATCTTTCTTGAAAGGACAAATTGAATGAATAATAACTTTGATAACTGGATTCCAAAATCACCGCCAGATTTTGCAACTACTTATCTTAAATACTCTCTTGAAACTCTTTCTTCTTCTTCAATTCACTCATTGAATACTTCTAATTCAACCAATATAATGCAATCTATTCTTCTTCACTATCTTATAATTTAGCAATAGATAATATTTTTCAGGACCATTGGGATTAAGCAGGCCATCCTTATAACTTGAATCAATCTTGAAATAAATATTCTTCACAAGGTCAGAATGATGATAAGGAAAGTAATGGCAGGAGAAGTGCAATGACAACTATCAAAACAACAGGAAGGATGAACAGTAACCACTACTATGTAGGAATAGGCCAGGCCAAAGATAAAGGAATGAGCAAAGGCTGAAGTGACAAAATCAATCTATCTATGATTATGGGCAAAATAATGATCAAAATTTCATTAATATATTGCGACAACTTTCTGAATCAATTGCTAGAATAAATATTTCAAAGAGTAACAACCAAAGGAAAACAAAGCTAGTGGATCTACCAATCTTCAAAGGAGGAGAATAGGATCCTCTTACTTGACTTAATGAATTTGATGAAGGATGCAAGACAAATTATATCAATAAACTTCGCAAATTTGAAATACTTCCCTCTTACCTCAAAAGAATTGCACATATTTGGTGATCTTCTATGAATAACCAAATCAATTACTGAGACAATGCAACACATCCAACTGAATCTTTTATGCATCAATTTCTGCAACTTGGTGTACTACTCATTAAAAATCAAGGTGAATGAATCAATTAAGATAGAGAATACAAAAACTAGGAAAAACTGTGGATAAATACCTGAATGCAATAACTCTTCTTTACAAGCATATTGATCCTGATAACAATTACTTTCTTGAGGATAAAACCAGGCAATTCATCAATGGATTAAGGGATAAATTGAAGAAACCAGTTGAAATTTCTTGTCCTCTTGACATGACTAAGGCTATCAACCATGCTCATGCTGCTGAATCAACCTATTCCAGGAATTCTGCTTTGAATGCTTATTCTTTGAGATACAATTACTTGAACTAGAATGTTGATGAACTTAAGGACATTAAAACAGCAATCACTCAACTCACTCAAGGATTTCAATAACTGGCAACTTTAAATAATAGGAGGTATACTGGTAATAATAATATTAATAGCAATAATAGGAAAGAAAATCAAAGGGAAACTTGCACCTGCAACAATTATGAAAAAGTTGGATACTTGCAACGTGACTATAGATCATGCCGCAATAACAATAATGGCAATAATGGGAACAATGGCAATAATTATAGGAGGTCCTATAACAATAATAACAATAATAACAATAGAAATCAGTTCAACAATGATAATAATGGAAGGAGATGTTTTATTTGCAACCAACCTGGACACTTGGCTAACCAATATTCTCAAAGGAATATCAACAATTCAATGAATGGGAATGGATCTAGCAACAACCAATCATCTTCTAGCAATTAATCCAACAATCGCAATCAATGGCTCAATCTTTCTATATAGGACATTGCTAAAGTAGTGGATCTTATGGACCGACATTTAAAAGATTAAGGAGACCTAAAAAGAGCCAATAATCCCCTATACTTTCAAATTCCTCTACATCAAAATCTTCTCTACTTGCACAAATTGAATCAACCAACTCAAAAGCTGTGAAAGCATTATATTGTGATGCAAAAATTGATAACTATCCTATCTATTTTATTATTGATACTGGATCAATAAGTAGTGTTATTTCTAAACCATTTTTGGACTCTTTGAAACGTACATCTATAAACCATCTTCTATCAATCTTGTGGATATAAATAGAGGAAAAAAATGATCATTGGACAAGGTGAAGAATTTGCCAATCACTATCAAAGAAATTACCATACCTGTCACTGTGGATATATATAAATTAACTCAATATACTATCATTGTGGAAAATAACTAGATTACAAAACCAAGGCTATTATTAATTATGACCATCAAATCATGGACTTGAATTATTTGAGCAAAAATATCTGATGCAAGGTTATATGTTGGAAAAAACCAAAATTTAATGATAATGAAAGGCCTATAGGAATTGAACCTTTGGATAAGAGAAAGGGAAAGAAAACCTATGATTTAACTAATGAATTGGAATATGAGAAAATATTGGATGAGGATCAAACTTACTGTGCACTCTTGGAAAACTCTAATAAATAACCACTAGTGAAAATTGATAAGTCAACAGTCACTATTGGACAGCATGAGGAACCAATAACTTATATCCAGGAACTTGAAGCCATGCAACAACCGCTCTTAACTTCTAAACCTCTACAAAAGGGATGGAAAGAATCAAAAACAATCTGTTGGTGTGACCATTACTTGGAACAGGAATCTGACATTTATAATACTTGTCAACTCAAAGCCAAAGATTGGGAACTTATTCAATACTTGAATGTGGATCACAAAAAAGAGCCGGATAAACCATCTGATTTAATCCAGGAACAACAAAATCAATTCAACCATTTGATACAACAATACCAGGATATAATTGCAACTGATGACTCA